TTATAATTCTAACACTCATAAAAAATATCACTATCATTAATTTTTTTTTTTAAGTGAAATACAACTTTTATGCATCGGCAAAATAGTATTAATGTAAATAGCAATGTTTAGGTATTAGATATGTAAATACATAAAAATTGTGTGTGTGAATCTTCCAAAATCTAATTTGTAGAAAGAACATGGACCTTACCAAACATAAGATGGATTTGGGAGAGGCTTGAGCTTGGCTTGTTAGCACATCGATCTCAGTTCACGAGTCACTTATCGAGCCGGCTCACGAACTTATTTGACGTATCTAATGCACGACAATGATCGTGAAATGAATAATAAATACATTCATTATAATCAAATATGAATTAAGGTTTTCAAAGCCAAATTAGAGATCATCTTCCACCATATTAAAATATCTTGCGTTGTAACAGTGTTGGGGTGGGAATAATAGTTTCTTTTCAGCTTTTAGAAAGTTCACAAAAGGCGAGCACATAGATATCTTTTCTTATTGCAGTTCTATTCCAACTTGATGACTTGTTGCTTTTGCTTATCAAGATGTGTTGAGATAATTATCTTTCGGCTACAAGAACAACATGCATTGCACTGAAATGACTTTCCATTAGATCTTTGTTAAAATATTCATTATTCTTTGGCCACATCACCCTTATCTTTTCTTTTTTGCATCCTAATCCCTTTTTTAAAGGGGGTTTTACATACATACCGCACAATTCATATCTATTTACATATATGATACCATGTAATAAAAAGAATGAATAAATATTGTTGTGAGATATGTACTTTCTGACATAGAAATGAGACGAAAAAAGAACACAAGCAAACACAGATCGTTTACGTGGTTCGATCCAACTGGATCTATGTCCACGGGAGGGAATCAATCAAATATTTCACTAAGGTAAAAGAAATGGAGAATACATAGTTTATACATAGAGATGAGCCCTCATCTTCCTTTTATGGCCTCCCTCTCAAGCGACACCTTGATACAAGGCCTCAAGATGCTCTCCTCCTCTCTAACTCTATAGCTATTCTCTTCTCTTTTGTGGTAGCTTAAGATCTCTTCCCCTTTCTCTCCTAAGCCTCACACCCTTAAGATCTCTTCCCTTGCTCTCCTAGGCCTCACACCCTCTCTATTTATAGAAGCAATAGAGTGGTTGGTGGGAGGTAGGTGAGCGGTAGGTGAACGGTAGGTGAGATGTGGTAGGTGAGCGGTACCACATTACAAAAGTGCCTTTTTACCTTAGTTCATTAATTGGGGGTCAAAATAACATATATATATATATATATATATATATATAAAGATAGACTATAACATGTGT